TCTCCCCCCTCCTTCCCGACCAGCCCTCACGCAGGAGGCGTGTCAACAGGGCAGTGCAGGGTGAACAGGTTCTCTGCATGACTCTGCTCCTGCTGCATCGGGTGATGCCCCCTGGGCTATGGAGGCCCTGGGGAAGGGAAGCAAGACAGAGTGAACAGTGGCGAGCAGCTTTTCCATGCAGGCACGCTGTTCCCTGCTGCCCTGTTTCCCTTCCCTGGAGCCTCCGCCGCCTGGTGGGCACCACTTGGCACAGCAGAGAGCACCAGCGCTGCACGGAGAACCTGCTCGCCCTGCGCTGCCCTGGCAGTGCACCTTCTGTGCATGGGGCTCCACTTCTCAAAGTGGCAACATGCACAGGGGCCATGTTACCAGGACAGTGGGGTGGGGAAGCTCACAGCAGCGAGGAGATCCCCACGCAGCCCTGCTGTCCCCAGCCACACCAAGTTGTGCCCGCTGGGATGTGGAGGCCCTGGCAGATGGAAGCAGGACAGGAGCCCACGTCCACAGCCTGCACCTGCCCCACTCACAGATCTGGGGGGTGTAGGTCCTCCCTCTGCCCCCCAGGAGTGCGTGTTGCAGCAAGGAGCCGGCTCTCCCCAACCCCTGAACAAGCCACCAGTGACCTGCTTCCTGCTGGGACCCTACACCCACACATTGCGGCCCTGGGCCCCAAGCCCTGGCCAGCTGGGCAGCAGCCCCAGCCCAGCCCAATTCCTTCCCTAAAGGGGCCTCAATCCCCCTCTATCCCACTTATCTGCTGGAGCTGCTGTGCAGGCTGCGTGGGGCTATATGCATGTACTGTACATGCACGTGGCACCCCTCTGTCTCACCACTGTCCTTCTCCCAGGCCATATTATTGGACCACCTTCCAAGCTCCCTGCAGTCTGCAACTCTGCCAGGCTGCAGGGAGCTAACTGCAAAATGGCATAATACAGTTTCTCTTGTAAAACGAGAAATTCACGTTTGCCTCTGGTAAAAAATAAAATCCGCAGTTTACTCTGTTTCTCCGTGGGAAACGGAAAACCCAGATCCCTGCTAATCACCACCTTCTCTTCCAGGTGCTTAGAAAGGATAAATTGCATCTTTAAATAACTTCACTGAAACTGAAATATTTTTAAATATGTATTGAAAGATGAGATTGAAAACCACTGTAAATTCTTTTGGGGACCAACTTTGATAGTAAAGATTAACTGATTTTTTTTTTTTTTTCCTCCAATTACCTACGTGTCGAGATCATAGTTTGGATTCTGTGTTTCTCTTGCTGAACATCATGCCCTTTAAATAAAAATAAGTAAATATGGAATAAGTACAAGCCTGTACCCTGTTCTTAGGGTCAACAACTTACTGGAGAAGTTAGGACTTGGTCCTGCTTTTTGAACTGTCAGCATATTTATAAAACCTTATTATAAACTGAGCCCAGAGACTTCAGTAGGAGTGTAGGGCATTGGTCATGTTTCAAGTGACGCTTAACACATGGGAAAATTCAGCTCTTTTCCTTTTAAGTTAGGCATATCCTGTTGGCAGCAGTTATGAAATACCTCCAGAACACCTGTAAAATTCTGTTTTATCATCATCTTTGAATGCTAATTCTATATGTTTTTTCCTCTGTTTCTTTGAAAAGGACATTAACTTAACTTGTGGTTTTTCTTTATACTCTCGTAACATGTTTATTCACAGTCTTAAGAACAAGACCATACTGAAAGTTGATATTCTCCTATTGACGACAAACATTAGACACATCTCCTCCTACGTTGTTCGGCATTTTTTAATTTCACTTGCTAGAGGTGTATAGGTCTTGTTCTTCTTCTAGCCAGACATTTCGCACCTTTATCCCCCACAAACATACTGTCATCCTACACTTTCAGAATAGCAGCTTTTTAAACTTGTATAGTGCTGTTTCCTAAAATAAAGACTCCAAGATGTCTGGTGAAATCTTGGCATAAGTTTATAGCAGATGTTGCCATTGCTCTTGGAATATTTATAAAGATATGTATTTCAGTACAACTAAACGGGATAATAAAGCAAATACCTTTTGCTTCAGGGAATACCTTTTTAAGTCTAACCTCCAATCCTAAGGTACAGAAAATTGTTCTCCTTAGGTGAGAAGTTTTATGTTGATTGACTGAAACAGCATGCATTTTGTGCTGAGTGACACGCACTATACTGTGTGAAATTCTCTATTTGGTGCAAAAATACTTTGTTTGCTTCATAGTTTCAAAGAAGCTGTAAAGCACACATCTGTACTTACAAGTCAACACAGAACTATTATCAAGTCAGCTAGCTATATTAGCTGTTGTTATTTTTCCTGTATATTGACAAACATAGATATATTCTTGCTTTTCTTACAGTCTGAAAAACTGATGGCAAAACAGATGGAGTTTTTTTGCAACCAAGCAGGGTTAGAGAGACTGCAACAAGCAGAGAGACGCCTTTCTGCAGGGTGTTACAGACAAAATTCAGAAGAGCACAGCCCCAATGGCATGTCATTAGATAACGCTGATGGACAAGGTATAGTAGCTTCCAGGCATCTTCTTGCTGCCAGTGAAAGTACTAGATATTATGCAACTGTTGGTTGTTTTATTTATGTATCACCAGCAGGGTATTAGGCACTAAGCAGACAAGGCAAGATCCCTGCCCTGAAGTGCTTACAGTCTAAATAATGCAACCAGTTATAGGGAAGATTTGGTGCTGTTACTCTAATGTAACTCCAGGGAAACCCTGCCATCTGAAGTAGAAAGATTCTGGATGCATTCAGTTTTAACAGAATAAAATCTCCCACCCTGGGTTTATATATCTACTTTAAAAATAGATGGAAAAACTATGCTTCTATGTTCAGCTTGGTGGGATTGTACTCAAATCCCTTGATCCTTTATACAAGGAATGCTTCAGAGTCTTTTCACCACTGACCACCCCAGTTGACTTTTGCTTAATGAAGCTAGAAGGTTAAGCTTGTAACTTGGAGAGCTTCACTTCTTATTGTCTATATGTACAATCATGGAATGTAACTGGAGATGATTTTGTAAATTTCCAATAAGTAAGCAAATTTTAATAATACTCCTGCTAGTTTTTAATGCTCCAGAGCAGTTCTGCGGACTGTTGCCTTTTGCTTTAAGGAGGATTAGGCTCCCTTACCCTTTTCTTGCATCTGGATTCCATTGGCGGGGGGGTGTTTGCACTCGACTTTTATTGGTGTAACATGAGGAAGTATTGTAACTTGATATAATGAAAGCTAGGGAACTAGATTTTTATCTTAAGGGACCATTACTATTTACACAGGTTTTTATGTGGCACTCTAATTTGTAGAACATCAGCATGGTTAGAATAGAGCTGTACTGCCTCTTACAGTTCAAAGGTTAGTTTTGTTGTACTTGTATTTCAACATGTAAGGCAGAGTTGGAGATTGTACAATCCTAAAATGTTTTTGGGCAAAATAAGGGATTTGGTATGGCTGAGCCTCCTTTTATAGCAACAACCAGAGTCTGGGGGAGAGGGGGTTTTTTGGTTGTTTTTTTTTTTTTTGCAAATCAGCATTTTACACATCTCTCTTATTACAAGAAATCCCCAGTATGCTAAAAGCTAGGTTGTGCTTCTTGTTAATATAATTGGAGTATCCTTTTATTTATTTATCTTTAGCTTGAATTTGATTCCTAGCATTGGGTTGCTTTCCAAGTATGAATATTTCAGTACTGAATATTTCAGGTGAAAGGCCCCTGAATCTCCGAATGTCAAACCTGCAGACCAGACAGTTGCAACACCTTTCCCTAGATGGCGAACAGCACTCTGGAAAACCTCTTTGCAGTGACTTGATCAGGCTTTACTCTAGTAGTGAGGCAAAGTCTCAGTCCTCAGGTAAGTGTTATCTTTTCCTAGGTTTTTTAAACTACCTATTCACGGGTGAGGTTTGAAAAACCTGGAGGGAGCTGCCTAGCTAATTCTCTCTTTTTCCATGAAGAATTTGCTTTCATAGACCATCGTCAGATAGCTAGATAGATAGCTCTATCTGACAATGGTCTATGAAAGCTAAATTATTTCATAAATATATGCTACAAATGAAAATTCAGGACTAGTGTTTTGATACTGAGCATTTTATGAAAATTATTAAACGTTGTGGTTTGAGGTAGGCTTTTCACAGAACAGGTAATAACTATGCACAGATTAGGGAAGATGCTTGAAATCTGTCTCTACAGACAAAACAGCCAAATTGAGCTACAGCTCAAAAGCTCTGTCTGAACAGGGCTATAATGTGACAACCTGTGGAACCAAATGATATTTAAAGCAGGGTATTTCAAAACGTCTCTTTAGCCCTGTTTTATAAAGAGTCAAATACATTCACCTACACTGAATAAAGCCATGTTAGAATCTAGTTCAGAGCTGAGTTTCTGTTTTGACTGCATAAACCAGGTCTTTTGCACTTCTATCAGTCTTTTTTTAAATGATTTCTGGTCATTGTTTCTCCTTTAATGTAAACTAGTAAACATTAAAACTACTTCTGAGCCTGCTAAGGAGAAACAACTATTCCTTTGTGAAGTCTAGATTGGGTATTTTACTTTGCCAATGTGTATTAAATGTAAAACTGACTCAGTTGATACAAGTGTGTGACTGACTTTGAGACTTTTCTATTTCAAGCACTGATAGTACTATGGAGATGGGATGATAACTGCAGAGTAGTGATTTTTTTCAGGGGCCAAATTTGAGAAATGGGCAAAATCCTTTGTATTCTGGCTGTGTCCATCCTACTGCTGGTGCAACTCTCCACTTTTTTTTTTTCCAGCAGTCTCCTCTGTTCTAGAAGTTTACAGCTGGTGGTCGTACTAATTAATAGCCTTGACACACCCAAGACTACACTCAACTTGCTCATACCACTTACCATTGCTAAGTTCCGCTCCCTGGTGAATAGGGAATTAGTGAGCAATATCAGTTGTGTCCTATTCTGCACCTCTAGTGGGACTGTGATGCAGCCGCGGTCTAGACTTTGGATGTTTCTGTAAAAGAGTGGAGAAAAGTTTTTGTATGCACGTCTTCTGCGAATAGCAGCAGCATTTGTGCAGCTTGCTGACCATTTCTTATGGTAAAAGCAGAAGATACTTATTTCACTGAACTCTTTCCTAACACCTCTTTTCTTTTTATGCAGAAGGCCTTGGCATCTTAAAAGATTTTCCTCACTCAGCTTTTAACAACATAGAAAGGAAAGTCATAAAAACAGAACCTGAAGATACAAGATAGTCATTCTTCTCTGGAAAATGGTGTTGAAATAAAACTTCTGAGGAGAAGCAAACAAGCCTTAATAACCAGTGTTGCCTCATTCAAATAAGAGATTTCATAGCCAAAGCCTAAGAACTGGTGTAGTAGTCTGTGGAAACAGAAAAACAAGAGACATTGCAATCTAGAACAGTAATACAGGTGGATACGCATTCCTGTAAAGTGGTTTTATAATGTGGAAAGGTTCACAAATTAATATTGTGAGCCTGCATTATTTAAGAATGTATTATGTATTTGTATAACTTATCAAAGTAAATCTAGATGTTGGGACGTGTATTGAGTCCAGTAGATGTGGCTACAGTTCATTTTACTTGAAATTTCAACGTCTACTTTAAATGTATCTAGCATAGATATATGGTTGTTATACATTTGAGTTAAAATCCTTGGAGAATTAGGAAAGAGAACCTAGTAACAATTCACAGCTGTTTGCAATGATATTTGTAGGAAAAAAAATTAGAAAATGCAGAAGATATTTCGTGGTTTACAATTTTCTCTGGATATAGCATTTGATAAAGTTGATCCTGTATTATAGCAGACATATTTGAAACTTATTAATGTACTGTCATTTAAATAGTTTCAGCAGCCTTTACATAACACACATATACTACTTATCTACAATTTGGAAGTGATGAATATGAAAAAACTCACTAGCACAGGGGAGTGTCCTACTTATTGTCACTGACAGGACTGCCAAATGTTGTAATTCAGAAAGTTTTATAATATTTTGGACTACTGTGGCTTAAAAAAACCCAAACCAACAATGCATCCTAAATGTGGCAGAGATTTCAGTGTGATGCAGGATTAATGTATTAGTATTCAAAGGTTGCATTTCATACCCATACCATAAACTAGCATAAAGAAGATAGGAAGGGGGATACATTACTGGTAGATGACCTATTATGAGGTGCTGCCCAACCTACATGATTCAATGAATATACCATATACTGAATACAGTATGCCAATGTTTCCTTATGTATGTTTAGTTAACATCTGTACTCATTATTTATTTGACAATCTTTATTTTTTGTACATGGTTTTTCACTTTTGCAGGTATCACTTTGTCTCAAGAAAAATAATTGGCTTAATTTACAGAATTTGGGATTTCGCATGGTATGTGTGTATTCTCAATGTAACTTCAGCTGCAGAGTTGCATTTCTGCAGTGAAATAAGTTACATGCCTTAGTTCCTGAATACAGCTTTTGCCCACAGTGCTTTCTGAGGTGCAGTAGATAAACTTCCATACTAAGGTGTGCACTTCTTGTCTGCAGTTTGCTCTGTCAAATATGTATGTCATACTAAAATTATGAGCAAAATGTGAGCTGGAATGTCTACACTGCAGTCTCTGATAACTGTAAACATGTCTACTTATTTTATCACTTTTGATTTGTGGAACAAAGCTTTATAGTAGAAACACCAGTAAACAACTTTTTATACTATTAAAATGTTTGTTTATAAATGTTCTTTGAATTGTATTGTACTGTTTCACTCACTGAAGAATCTTACTTTAAGTAGTGGAGTTTGCAGCTTTGCTGCTAGAAATAGGAGATGAATGTGTACAGTAATATTTGCTCCTTTATGTTGTGTGTACTAATAATATGGATAGGATATATCTTCAGTTTATAATGTTAGCCATAGCACTGGTTAGTAGCTGAGTAGTTTCATGGAATATGATTCATGTATTATGGTCTAGAACTTGTGAGTGGACTGATTTAACATTTGAACTATACAAGTATAGTTATAGAATTTAAGAAGCAGCAAACTTTTAAAATTGCAGGAAACTTCCCTCTTAATATCGGGCATGACCAAAAGCTCTGCATGAACCACAGGAGATGCTCTTAAATGTCAAGAGCTTACTTGTCTTTCAGTCTACAGTAAGAGGGAAAGAGAGCTCATCTTATCACCACACAGTTTCAGTAGAATACAGAATTTATTTTGTAAACACTAATGTATTAAATTTGCTATAAATTAAAGTTTATGATATAGTTTTATTTTTGATTTATAAATACAGTATGATTCAATTGTGTCATAACCAGTTGGTTAGCTAAGGTGGTCCAGCAGACCATTTCAATCCTAATATACGCAAAGTCTTTTTTT